TGAAGAGTCTGGTGTCTGTCCTTGTCTGTACTCCCTCTGTTCCTCTCTGACATACAGAGGAATAATTAAAGAAAAATTAGTAATCTGTATTTATTGCAGACAATACTTGATTAATCTCCACAGTCATCCAGCCAAATGTCACAGTTTGAGCAAGAAAATTGGTTCTATCCTGGCTCAAACCAAGACACCAAATAAAAAGAGATTAACTGACATCCTAATCATAAATCAAAAAGGCAGAGAAATTAAGTGTATTAACTTCAGAGATAAACATCACAGAGAGCAAACATTAGGGTTTAACCTACATTTGTCAAAATCTAATGTGAGACAACATTAGGACTCCCAAGTCATGGATTTTTAGGTTGTTCCTCAAAGCACTGCAGTCTGTGCTGTGTGCATCTCACCCTGCCTCTGCCTGGAATTTTTACTGATTACACCAATTCATGTCACTAACAAATCAAAGAAAGTGGGCTCACTTGCTGATTCAAGCTGTTGGTTGCACTGGGACCAGAAGTCCCCCTCTAGCAGATCTTTTTTTGGAAAGTCAGGATCTGCCAGCTCAATTGAGAGGCATCAGGGGCTGGGATGGCTGGGAAAGCAGCAGCTTGCTTCCTGTAGGAATGCAGCATATGTGTTAGGGTTTTTGGTGAGCTTTCTGTAATTTGCAGATCAAAACCAAACCAAATCAACCAACCAAATCTTTTCCAGGGCCATTCTGGATTTCTTCAGGCTATAAAAATGTTCAAGCCTCTAAACATATCAGACCTGTTTCCCTGCATTCCACGTCTATAGCCTGCCTGAGCCCTAAAGCTAAGATGTAATCATTGTCTCACACTGATCTTCTTAAAAAAAACACCATTCCTTCCCAAATTCTCTTTTGGAATATAAAGGAAGCACATAAGGGTCATGAGAGAAGTGTTATAAATGGTGCTTTTTCTAGGAATGATCTGTGAAAGATGGAAATGCACAAGAAAGACCAGAGTCAGATGATACTAATGAACGTTGATCTTAGCACTATCAACATCTTTTTGTCAGGAATGTGATCATAGAGGTGAAGTGAGTATCAACTGTGAGTCAGGGTGGCAGCAACATGGGCTCTGGTGTGACAGGGAGCCTGTTCTATGAGCCATCACCCCCCACAGCTTGCTCACAGACTGCTGCCTTCACACACCACATGAGTGCAGGATTAAATTCTTAGCTGGGAGGGAATTTTGTGGGCGTTTATCACACAAGAACCACACTGTTGGTGTCTGTTGAAATCCAAACCCCTTTAATTGGCATTTCCTTATTGCAGATGAGCACTCAGGACAAACCAGATCTCCTTGAGGCCAACAGCAAGAGCATCCTAAAGAGGCAAATACCAGCCCTCTGTGTGCAGACTGACTGTCTCAGCTTTGGTATCAACAGTGGATTTTCTCCATTGCTACTAATTTGCCTTCTCAGTGTCCTGCCTTCCTAGTAGAGCTGGAAGAAGCTCATACAAAACCCAAGCTATCTTCGTGAGCTTTCTAGAAAATCTTTCACAGATGTATGTTCTGATATTTCATTATCTTGGCAAAGAACTAAAATATGTTTAAAGGAGACATGACTGACACTGTCAGCACTGATCTAGTGCTTCACATCTTTGAAGCACCAGCCATGAAACAGGCTACAGGAAGAAGCAGGTATTTGGCAGCTGATTACCTGGCAAGAGTTGAAAGGGACAACTTCTGTATTGCTCTGGAGATGGCTAAGGTAACAACCACCTTTATCTTCTGGGTCTTTCTGCTTAGCTGGGTGAGATAATTGGGTTACTCTTTGGACAAAATGTGGAAAAATATACAAACTGTCATTAACAATAAAAGGAAAAGGGGAAAACAAGAACACTGGTTGCTCTAGCTTGGCACTTCATTGTACTGGCTTTGCCCTTTCTCACATGAGCTCTTCAGTATAGAAATTCTTTCCTTTGGCCTCTCATTTTTTTTACTTCAGTTAATTTGCTGTGAAGATTTTTAATTGTTTTATGTAAAATTATCCTATCGATTGGGGTGGGTTTTTTTACTACTCAATAAGGGCTGTAGAGCTTTCCCTATCTGTGAAGCTGATCTGCAATGATGGGAAAGCTGCAGACAGTGGGTTTGGCTAGCTCTGTGTAACAGAAAAGGGAAACCTGTCAATCAGCAAGAAATGCTGAGAGCAGCAACTGAAGCACTTTGCTTTTTCCATCAGGCAATGAGGGCCTCTTTGAGGATTAAACCTATGGCTAAATTTAGGTACATCTCACTGGAGTTAGTATCAGGAGTTACCAGATCAGAACATCTTTGGAGGCAATGACGTCTGTCCCATGGAAGTCTAAGCCCTGGCATGTTCCTCCTCTGCCCTGGGCTGCAGCAGGGTTTGGAGCTGGGAACATTCTGCACAGCCTGGGCCTCCTGAGGCATCAGGAGGTTTGTCACTTAAAGCACTTGAAATACCTCCTTTCATCAGCCTGCTCTTGTATATTGTTCTTCTTGTTTCTTACACTCCAGTGCAACTTGTATTCTCGATTGCTCTGATAAATTAAGGAGTACTAATAAACATTTTGAAAGAGTTAGGTCTGGAAAGAGACAAGTGAAACCCATGGAAAATAAACAGCCCTTTGCAGTCTTCATTTTGTAAGCCAGGTAGATGGACTCTGTCACATTTTCCACATCACTCCCATCTCTGTGCCATGGAATCAAGTTGCTCCATCCCTCTAGGAAAGGCCCAGATGCCATTTTCATTCTAGTTGGAGCAGAGTGTTAAGGAAGAAGTGTATATATATATAGGTATGGGTAAATTAGACTTCCCAGGAGTGTAGAAACAGCCCTGCAGAACCAAACTTCTGCTCTCTGCTCAGCAGCTGTGATTTGATTGAATCCCAAAGAGGGCTCTGGCCCTCAGCAGGGTACTCTGAGCTGCTGCTTTCTAAGTAAATAGTCACGCTCCTGCAAAGCCTTTTAGGGTTTTTCAGTTTTACATAAAAATCCTGGAATTCCATATAAATATGCTAGAACTGTGTGTGTGGTGATGTGTGTGTGTATTTACCTGTCCCAGGTGAATCTTCTCCTTGCTCTTATAGTGACAAAAGGAAAGACAGAGTCAACTGGTATAAACACCAAAGGAAGTTGGTTTCCAGATTTCCCTCCCTGAAATCTCAAAAAGTCTGTTTGGGTAACAACATTACAAATACAACTAAAGCAAAGGATCTTTTACCATGTTATTTCCATTTATAACATGCTCTGGGATCCCTGCAGGACATGTCAGAGTTTGATCTCTCTTCAGTTAGAATCATTTTGTCATAAGGGCAAGATGACTTTAAGTAGCTCAGGGTGTGTGTGGCTTCAGAGACTGCTGAGAATAAAAGAAACACACGTTTCCTCAGGTGCCAGTGGACAGAGTCACTTCACCATTTTTATTTGTCGATGGTTTTTATAAAACAAAATTACTGTTGAATCAGACACCTCAGAAAACATTTAGTCTTGTGCATGCTAGTGATACATCAGGTTTCAGTAGACCAGGATCTGCAAAACCAGCCAGTGAAATTGTCAGCTAGAATTCCTGTTTTCTACTGAAGGGGAAGGGAAACTCACAAAATTAAGGCACTGTCAAAACCACAAATCATTTGACCTTTTGTAATGGCTTTCATCTGCTTGTAGACAAGATTTATTTTTTTAATTAACCATCAGTTTCGATTCTGAACAGGGGGACACAAAAAAATAAAAATGCTCCTATTTCTATTCCCAGTTGCAAGATGACAGCAGCAAACCTCACTGCTGGGGAGGGTAACGTGGTGCTTGACTGGAAGCCCAGTACCACATGTGCCCTTTTCACCACAGTGACCCAAGCCCTTGGTGATTAAAAAAAACCCTCAGAATGAGTTCTGGCCTTTCAGGTGACATTTTATAGAACAAAATCTGTTATAAGAACAGCTTCAAACTAGTCTAAAAGGCAGTATTCACCAAGCAGAACATGAACGAGCTGACACTCCTCCCTGAGCCATGCAAGGCATTTCATATTCTTGGCTTGTTGGCACAAGCTGCTTTCACAGACCAGTAGTTGGGCTGAAAGGGACCTACAAGGGAGAACCAGTCTCTTCAGCTGGGGTGCTTTTGTCAGTCCTTTGAAGTAGCTTTAATCAGCTGGTGTGAAACCTGCTTCTTCAGCCTTTAGATCTGGACTAAGGAAACGTTCCTTCCTGCATCCAGGGAGTGTTCAGGCTGTCCTTCAGCACTCCAAAACCACTGCTCCCAGCACAAGCCAGCACGGAGCTGTGGGCTTAGGACTAGACTTAGCAGCATCCACAAAAATCTCTCCACAAAATTTCTCTCCACAAAAATGCAGTCTTTAAAAAGCCAGTTTCAGGTCCATTAATTAGGTGCCCTGGCAATTATAAATAAATAGTAATAAATACTTATTTACACTCACACACCCTTCTTGTATCCCACAAACCAGAACCATGCTTCTTTCCTAGTGAAATAGGATCAGGTTTGAGGTGGGACACATTATTAAATAACGTGCAACATAACAGTTCAAAATAAAAACAGTATCAGTACATTGCACTCAGAGCACTTCACAGCTTCAAAGCTCTTGCAAACACAAGCTTAATTAAGTGACAATGTTCTATCCATTAAGAATCAGAGGGAAGTCACGTGAGAAAAACGGAGTTTGGCCAGGACAACAGAGTCGATGTCCTGATTGCATATAAAATGTCACAATAAGTGGAGATATGGCAGATGTGGGAGCTAGGGGAAATTAGATCAGGCTCATATGAGACCATTTAATTCCTCGAGTCTGGAATCCAATTTCCACATTGATTGTGTCTAAACAGTTTGCTGTTTAGGTAGATATCAAAAAGGGGCAATGAAAACTCAAAGGAGCTTAGGAACTGCAGGAGCACAAGCCATGACCTCCATTCATAAACACAGTGAAAGATTTTACACCAAATGAAAATGCTGCTTCGTAATTGCTGACAGCTTGGGAACTGGTACCCACTTGTCATCCTGGCACAAACCTACAAATCCCTGAAAATATGATCAGAAGAGAGAGACAGAGACCAAAAAGCAAGCAGCAGCACAGAAAGCACAAGTGAAATTCAGGGACCCGCCTGGCAGCGTCTTGGCTTCTCCTCTGGAGCCTGAGAGAAGGACTGGAGGATCAAGGAGGTCACAGGTGGCTTTGAGACTCTGCTCTGGAAGAATTTTCTTGGCCTATTTGCTGTGTGGTTGGTTTTTTATTCAGCTTTTTTTGCTTTCCTTTTCCTTGAGCCTTCATTCAGCTCCTCTTTTGTCTTGGCAGGAGCAGGCGAGGGATGGGAAACCTCATGGGAGGCCCCGTGGTGATCATGGTGGTGACTCGTGTGTCCACTGGAAACGGAGCCAAAGAAAACTGGGCAGATGAGGTTTTCCAGTGGAGTGAAAGGTGAGGCATGAGAGTGAGTTGCTGTCATGAAAACCTGCCGTGCAAAGTGAATACTGACAGTTAGAGATCACATCCACCAGCTGTGAAATACTAACTGGTAAGGAGCATTCCTCTTATCCCAGGTAAAAAATCTCTATTGCTACATGACTCGTGGATCTCCTACCATCCTGCCTGTGGGATGGAGAATTTACACTAATCCCCTAGTGTGTCCAGCCAATGCCTTCAGTGGTGGCTCAGGAAGGTGAACACCCCCAGTTTAGGTCTATTCCCTTGCTCTGATTCAGTAGAATGGTTAGCAGCAAACCTGCTGTAAACTTACCTTGCAAACTATCATGAATATGGTGAAAAAGAAGATGAGGTTGGCTTCAGAGATAGGGAGCCAGTGGGTTTGTTGCAGAGTGAAGAGGATTGTGCCATACAGGCTGGCCTTTGTAGGGCTAGAAGAGAAAAAAAGAAGTTTTCTAAGAGGTTTGCAGCCCTTGCATCCAGTCCTGAATGGTTCTTTACATTCCAGTTTTGGTCTGACAGAATTTCCAGGCTACCTACTTACAAGGACATATGAAGAATTTCGTTCTTTTCTGGCTTCCAGACCCCACGCAGCAGCTGCTCAAAGTTGGACATCAAGGCAACACCAGAACCTGTGAAACAGTGACACTGATCAGCTAGAACTGCCACACCAGAGAGCTCTGCTGTCTTTTCTAGATCCCCAAGGAATAAGGATAACCTAGGGGGACAAAAAATTCCTAACAATTCTTCTCAAATTAAAAAGGTGTTAGCCTGAAACAGCAGAGCAGGGCAAATGCTTTTCTGACTTTCTAGAAAGTGTTCCCTGATGCAGGGAAAGGGCATTTGCCTCTGTTCCATTTACTGATGCTCAGATGTTTGCTCCAAACAAAAGCTTAAAGGGAAATCAACTGGGCTGTTTCAACACTGATAGAACCCACTGAAAAGATACAGGTGAGGGCAGAGACAGCAGAACACATGAGAAATAAAGAATTCCTCAATTCTGCCCCCATATTTGATAGTGATTCCAGTTCTTCAAGCCTCCATTAAAGTCAGATAATGACTCAGCTGGCAGCCATTCTGCCAGGACGGATAAATACCTGTGTTCTGGGGAGCTTGACAGATGGAAGCCAGCTGACCACAGCCACCAACCAGCCTGTGGTCACCTCAAGCTGCACTCCCAGCTTCTCCCATCCCTCCCCACAGGGCTGGGTGCCTCCCTCCTGCATGAAGAGTAGCTCTTGCTTCACCTTTGACCCATCCAGTAGCCATCATGATGAACCACCCGTGGTGGTAGTGGTGGTGAGCGTGGTGGACCCCAGCGGCGATTTTGCGAACTCTGACCACCTCCTTCATGGCCACAAAGACAAGCTTCATGGGCAGAAAGCTAACGCACTTGTAGAAGAGGTTCATGGGACAGAAGAATATCAAATACCTGGAGTAAAACCACAAAGAGTTTAGGGACCCATTTGTTTGGTCTGATCCAGGATGTACTGAGGAGTATTGTGGTGTTAGCCCAAGCCATGGCTGGGAGGTGGAGATGCTGGTTCTGTCATGCAAAAGCACCTACAACCTGAGGAAATTAAACTAGGAGTAACTGAGGTTTATTTGTGCACATTTCACCAACATGAGGAATAAAATGCTCCCAAATCTCTGGTGTATGCCCCTCCCCTGCTGTGTGTGGTGGCAGGGCACGGCCTGCTGCTCCTGCGGGTTGGCCACAGTCCAGCTGTGGCAGCTATGAATAGAAATGCCAACCATTGGACTGGACCCAGCCCTTATAATCAAAACACCAGACAAACTGCTCTAGGAAACTGGGAATTGGGAACACAAAAGACTCAAAGACTCCCTCACCCCACCTCTTCTTCCCCCAGTTAATCCTAGCAAGACAAGACACGTGTGTCCCACCAACACCTCCCTTCTGCTTCCTAACTGGGGCGAAGTGCCAGACTCACCAAACTGCTGTGGCCAGGATGACACTGGAGTTGTTACTGAAGTAATCAATAGGTGATTGTCCAAGTAACAGATCAGCAAGTATGTAACTTCCAAAGCAGTGGAGCATGGCACAAAGCCAGGAGGCAAAAGGGCT